ACCACAATGACAAAGACGACAGCAAAGACAATACCAATGACAAAGACAATGACAAAAACAACACCAGCACTGAGACAAAGACGGTACTCACAACTAGACAGTGTACAGTATGGCTTCATATGACACTGTTACCAGGTAAATTAATTAAAAACAAGACTAAAAACATCCAGGACCCAAAACAAAAGGAACTGATTTGAAATAGGGTCAGAAGTCAGCCACGTTCAAGATTGGTTAACAAAGAAAAAGGAATGGCAAGGTAAAAAAAAATTGGTAAACTGAAAATACAGTCTAGTCTATGGAGAGCATAGATATACATGTAATTAAAACATTAAATTAGTTGGAATTAATCTAATTAGATCACTGTTCTTAAATCTGTTCTACACTTCAGCTATGGAATGCTGAGATAACACTCTGCCATTTGCAGAGCGAGTGGGAATGATGTCATTCAATTTAGAATTAACTTTCACATCTGTAGCAGATTGAAGGCACAACTCAGTTCCTCTTGTCATTCAAAGTGGGTATGCCTAGGGTGTCTAAGGCATGTTGATAATGATCATTATCAGAGGCCCAGTATGAGTTTAAGTGAGCATTTTGTCTCATTCTACATTTTGTCATTTAGTATGAATTAAAACAATTTTTTTCTAAATTTTGTTTTTCTATGCATGGTCCAATGATTATGGAAAAAGAAAAATGGAGATATTGCCATTTGTGAACGAGCCTATTCATAACCAGTTCTATAGTACGTATGCATGTGACGACCGCAACTCGATGTCATGGATGTGAGCGTGAGAAGGCCAACTTTGAGTATGCACTGTGATATGTCTGCTGCGTCTATACTGACAGGCTGATTAATCATGGAGAAGTGCAACCAGAAATCAGTCTATCAAAATAGCAGGGGACTGAGCGATCATTAATCTGCACTGGTCACCTCAAAACAATGACTAAATTTTCTAAAGCCCCAAAAAAGTGGACATAGTGGAGTCCGAGGAAAGAGCTGGATCCAACACATTTCTGAAAAGAAGATTCTCTAATTTTTTTCAATGATAAATGCATACATGTACATCCATGCTTGCTTTCCCCCAAAATGTGATCCTCATGCAACTTTATGCCGGTTTTTAGTCTTGTTTAATATATTTCACATTTGTCACTAGGGATACGTTTATGTTTCAATTAAATTGATCTTTCTTACTGAATCTGTTTGCCCTGAAGAAGGTACTCGGTTACCGAAAGCTCGGCAATCACATATTTTAGAGCACCGATTTGATATTATATTCCTGTCGATATTCTGATCACGGTGACAAATTCTGTTTCATGTTTCACTTACTTTCTTTGTGATGTTTCTTAATGCAGTGTTTAAGCAATAATCACCATAGTCGATGACTACTAAATTTTGAGTCCCACTAACCGTAGCGCCCAGCATTTTTCTCTAGTGGGCTGACTCAACCTATCAAATTGTAACAGCCTTTCACTGCTGGGTGGTGGTATATGTACTCAACCCACCAAATTCCAACAGTCCATTTGCTCTATCAGTACTCAGCCCAACAAAGTCCAACAGGTAGTAAACTGTTGGGTTTGGGCTGAGTGGGGATACGTGGTCATACATGTATGTACTCATCCCGTCAAGATCCAATAACTGCAGGGCAGTGCGAAATTTTGTTTGTGGGGGGGCCTCAAATCTCTGTGATGAGTGACCTCTCCTCAAAAAGCAAGGTCATAAACCATTGTTTATAGGCACACACATACCAGCAGCATTATTCATCAAACACACAGCAGCAAGTAATGGGTAATGTCGATGATGCCCACTCGATCAAAACCCAACACTGTCACTGCATCTGTACAGTACTTATCCCATACAGTACCCCAACCCTTTGTGTAAGAAAGTTTTGAATGTTCACAGAACTCAACCCATCAAATTTCAACAAACTCCGCTGTTGTAAATTGATGGGATGGGGAGCATTAGGGTTACACAGGTTTGTTTCTTTCTCAAGCTCTTTGATACTAGGTATTGTATTGACTTGTTATGTCAACCTTGGAAGAGGCAAAACCCAAAAGCTCCCTCACAAAATTTCATCAACATTCCTCATCAAGCTATTTGTAAGCTACCAATGCAGGTGCCCATTTATGTTTTGGGGGCAAAGAGAGGCAACTTAGGGTAAAATGGGTTGCTCAAAGACACAATAACAAAAGCACACCCTTGGTCTCTTATGTAGGAAATGACAAATATCTCTTTCACTTTACAGGATTCAGTTCGTCTGTTGGCTGTAGAGGCGTGTGTGAATATTGCTTCATCATTGTCACATGATGACACAGAAACACTTATCATGCCAACACTCAGGCAATGTGCCGAAGATAAGTCCTGGAGGGTGCGTTACATGGTGGCAGACAAATTCACTGATGTAAGAATCATTATCTTATCCATGTATCCATCTAAAATTTAGCAAAGTTGACAATTCATGTTCAGGTGCATTTCCTTTTTGGAGGTCATTTGGGTTTTCAAACATTTTTATCATAGAATAATGAGTTGAAAAAGGGCCAAATTCAACCAATTTTGTTCATTTTCATTGTTACAGCTGCAACAAGCTGTTGGACCAGAGATCACCAAACAGGACTTAGTGGGTGCATTTCAGAGCTTGCTTAAAGACTGTGAGGCTGAGGTTCGTGCAGCTAGTGCCCATAAAGTGAAGGCGTTTTGTGAAAATTTGGCACCAGACTCCAGAGAGCAGATCATCATGACCAACATTCTTCCATGTGTTAAGGTATTTAGCTGCTTATTGTCACAAATAATGTATTGACATTGCCAGTTAAGTCACTTGTTTCCTGGGTAAGAGAGTAGACTGCCGGGATCACAATAGAACAAAGTGGATAGGAAATATGAGCAAAGACTTCCACATTTGTACAAAGATGTACAGTAAACCTTGAAGTCAAATCCAGTGGAACCGACTAATTTTATCCAAGTTATGGTAAGTGAAAATCTGACTTGCAATTACCTGACAAAGACCGTACACTGACACTGATGTCAGACTGTACAATGGTTGACAGTCCACGCAGCATGAAATAACGTAATACCACTTTTCTAAAATCAAAATATTTTATTTCCACTCTGAGTATATCTTTTAACAGAAACTTGAATCATGAATCACCTGTTGCATTTCACAGGTTTGTGCCACAAGTGTTGCTGAATAGTCATAACCGCTGCTGTATTCAGCCATCCACTTTGTCCAGTAAAAATTGCAACCTGAGATAACATCTGCATCTGTGAAATAAGACAAAACAGTTGTTTTCCGTTATGTTCAAATCACATCGGCAAGAAAACACTGGTTATCAAAGTCTATACAGTATTTACCAGTATTTCAGTATTTATAGTGTTCTCACTAGCTTTTTATGTTAGCGTGGGGGGGTGTTTAAAGTTATTGTGTTCATAAGCCCCTGGCAGTCATATTTATCAACAAGAAATTAAGTACCATTTGCTCCATTTTAGGTTTTTATTTTTCTTTTGCTGTAAAAAAAGATGATTTTTTGTGTGTTTATTAATGAATATACGACAGAACATATCACTCCTCATTTCAAAGAACTCAAGCCATGTACATTTTGGGTGGTTAAAATACATGTGCTTATTATGTTGAAAAACTTTGTGATCTACCATGCGTGCATCAGCAAAAAAACACCTTCAATAGCAAACCACTGAAAACCATCAAATTAACGCATTAGGAAAGAGAATACAGCAAGAAGGAAACGAAATACTGTGCACTTTATCTGGAATTCCAGCAGCTTCTGTTTGACATCGTTATCTGTATGAAAAAATACATGTACAGTGAGAATCACACATCATCATATTTTGGCGACCGACTGAGATCTTGTGTGGTAGTCTGGCTCATGATATCCGTGTATTGTGGGGTCAACACATTGCTGCAAAGTGGTGGGGAACTGGTCTCCTTCATGTTACGCCACACACGCAGTGCATGGTTTCTTTTTCTGTTCGTCCACTGCGCTTCTTTTGCACAATACGGGCGTCTATTTATGACACTGTGCTGAAATACAGGGGAACACTGTTATTACAAGGTCCTTTGGACTTCATAAATTACCTTGTTATAATACTTACCTTGTATTATCAGTAATGGAAACAAACACTTAGGACCTCAAATTGTCCTTGTTACAAATCTGACCCTGTATTAACAATGCTACTCTTATCTGTATTCAACTGTACATGCACTGTTGGGGGGTGTGACTTTTGTTCCTGGCTTTTGGTGCACTTTGCCGATATTTTTGTGTCTTTGTACATTTGTGTGGCTGAGGGCTTTTATTTCTAGTTACGCTCAAGTTTCTGGAGAAATTTGCTGCAAAAAAGAGTATATTCCAGGCCAGATTTTTAGTGTCCCAGCCAGATTTTAGTGTAATAGCCCTAAACTAAAATGCCGTGGCGAAAACACTGATTTGCAAGTTGGTATTTTTTAGTATTGAAAAAAGACTTCCTCTATGGGTAACTTAGATGGGAATATACATGTATTTAGGCATTGCGTAAAGTTCCTTGGATGCTATTGTTCTTGAATGTACAATTTTAGGGTCGTTTTTCTCAAGTGGCTTTATTTAAACTGAGTTGGCCATTTGGAAATAGGTGTGCCGTTTCATACACAGAAACAAAGTATATGATGCATGATACTTTAATGATGCCTACCGACCATTGTAAACTCTCCCATTAAGTATCATGCTAACGACTGAAAACTGCAATTGATCCATGCTGTTAATCCGCACAGAGAAATGTTTCTGATTTCCCTGGTTAATGATCAGCTCCATGCATCCAGTCAATTGGCCATAGTGCAGTGAATCATGTAGGGCTTTCTAGTGATTCTTTGGCATTTCGTCAATAGAAAAGTGTGTGTGTACATGGTACATTTATCATTGGGGGTTTGAAATCTCCACTTTTTAGCTGATTTCTGGTTTATCGTTGAGTATTTCATTTTCCACTTTTGGCCAAGAACAGGCTAAATTTTCCTCCTTTTTCTTGCTTGCACAAGTGCTGATTCTTCTGGTTGTTTTTTTCTTCTACTGACCCTACAGCCAGGCCAAATTTTGCATGTCCTCTTTCCAAAACCAAAAGTGTTCAAAAACACAGTAATGCATGCAATTGAATCTACTCAACATGTACATATGCACATGCATATGTATACAAATCTGTCTGGACATTTTTTGGCGCATCTCAGGGCACAGGCCCTATGTGCAAACTGCATCATGGGACCATCCGGTCATTGTGTTGTGATTGGCTGCCAATGAAATATCAATATTCATACATGTGCCAGTGGGACTCGTAACAGCCATTCCTGCTTGAGCGGAAGCATTGACTAATAATCTCCACTACAACTCACAGCAGCACACATTTCACTGTAAATTTACTGCTTTGAATAAAGCTAGTAAATTTTCGCTTTCACTGATAGAGGGCTTGGTGACAACTGGTGCTGAGCAAAGTTCTTGTGTCTTGCATTATAGCGTGTTTTTTACATGCACTACGTGCATCGTTTTCAAACAATCCACAGAAATGGACATGGATGGAACACACCATAGACGCAAAGGTGACACAATCTGCAACCAGAAGATCCAAAAGCCCGGACATTCATTTAACAAAGAAATGAAATTCTGAAAATATGGTCCAATCAGGTTGGAAAAGGGACTTTGAAATGAAAAAGTTAAAATTTTGTTATACCTATCACTAGTTAATTTTAACCCTGACTCCCTAGGATGTGTGCAAAATCATATTACAATTGGATGATTCAGGACTGTTAGGGTTAACCTTCAGGAAGTTTTAGTAAAGATTCATGATTGGTGACATTATCGCTCATGGGTGCCTACGTGGACCGGCAGCCAGAACATGAATCCAATGATTGTCAGACAGAAAAAGCGCTTCATGTGATCATGAAAATATTAATAGTGACATCAGAATATACATGCAAAAGCAGCAAGACACATGTAAAGGAATGCCTAGGGTCTTCAACACTGGGGCCGGTAACTGCTCTATGTCTATAGAGCTGACCGGAGTGGTTAATCGAATTACGGTCTATAGGCACTTCATTCAAACTCCTTGTGTTTAATAGCTCCATGATTACACGACATTGGCTGTACATGCACACAACCATACTGTTGCAGGTCAAAAAAACATTGATGTTGCAAGAGGATTTCTGCAAGTTAATTCACAGAATTTGATCTCTTGTCTATGTATTTTCTGTGTTCAGGAGTTTAATTTGAGTTTGTTTTGCTGGTACTTCAAGCAAGCGTGTTTCCGCGAAATTTCCTGTCATGGCATGAGGTTCATCGTCTACCCGCCTGGATGCATCATGCACGCTTACCACGCGATACACTGATATTGTTGGCCAGTTTTCCGTTGTGATTACCTGGCTAGTATTGTGTGAATTCTTGTGGATTGTTGACTGTGGAAATTTTTACATATATTAAGACATGTTTTTATCACTGTTTGAGACAATTTTTGGAAGCTTTCATCCCTATTCATGCTATTACTGTACGTTGTATTTTAAGGTTACCGATACGAAAAGGAATGGGGAAAAAAGTGAAAGGAATTTGCATTTAGCATTTTGACCATTACTTTTCCCCCCTGCGAATTTGCAGTGAATCGGATGCGAAAGGGTCGAACGACATGCGAAAACAATGCAAAAATCGTGCGAAAACGGTGGGAATCTTTTGTGACCACGGCGTGAAACATTCGCGAAAACATTGAGAAAAAAAACAATGCGCGAAAACAGTGTGAAAATTTTGCGAAAGTTGTGGGAAAGGTTCCAAAAATCATGCGGAAACTTGCAAAAACGAGAAGCATTGTGCAGCGAAAATGCTCAACACTTGCCACACGCGCACGACTATTATGCAGTGAAGAGTCCATTACGCAGGCTGCGCTGCGCTTGGGGCCGGCCGGTCGGGCCAATTCACCACATGGAGTGTGCTGTTGTAGTCTAGTAGCAATTTCCCCAGCTGAGCCGTCCATTCCATGCAGCGTGATCGCGGGGATGTGCTTACTACGGCGACCCACGCTTGCGTGGCGCAGTTGTTTTCTTGGATTACCATAGATAAACACTCGTCAGTGTCAGAGAATAAATGTTTAAAAAGTTGTCTGGAGGTTGAGTGATTATTATAAACGGGAGTCCCCAAGTTATGAAGTCACGAAGCACATAAAATGTGTGTATTACATTAAACTTAACTTGCTTTGCTGTGGCGACATGGGTTATTTGCCCACTTTTTATTTATTTTCGTTGTGTAGTTTGGCACACAAAAAAATCAACAATGAAATACTACATGCAGTAATTTGTTACTGAAAGGTTTCTTACAATCAACGAATAAAATAACTGCTTAAATTGTACGTGTATCTTCATGTAGCAAATCTCGTCTTTTTGCCGATTGTGTTCGGTGTGACATATTGGGTCAGTTTTCACTTGGGTTTCTGATGACATGTTACTCTCTGTCAATGATTGGACTATCCACGAATGGGCATTCAGTAGCAGTCAGGATTACGCTGTAGGTGTAGATGCAGTTTGTGCTTCGCGATGCGGTGCAGCATGCACGAGGTCCCGTGGCGGTTTTTGAAGAGATTTGGTAATTTTTTTGATCGGCATCACGAAAACGTCGAGATAACCGGATACAAGGCATTTATTCCGAACATGTAAAAGTAATTTACATACATGACAACATGTGGATACATGTTCATGTACATGTGCACATATGGGGTGCACATGTTGAGCATCCATCCAAGTAGGTTAATATAATTTTTAAACGCTTATAACTTATAAGACATGTTAGAGAGCGCTATAACTGCAATTTACTGTAATTCAGCTGTTCGGTGTTCAGTGCTTGTCTCCAACCTCCACCATAGCCAGATATCTCCTGTCGCATTGTATTTTGCTCAAAACCGAGAAACATACTGTGTTGAAATTTTAATGCTGTCTTCCTCAAGTAATCTGAATATTCCTGAGAATTAAAGAACATTCCTGTCATACTGATTTTCCTCCACTTTCCATATTCAGAGACGTGCATGTTTGAAACCACAGAGAACAAAACTTCCTGATGTCTATATGTACATGCACAAATACTACTAAATGAAGAAAGCTTGCAAAATTATTTCCCCACTACCAGAGAAAATCTGTGAAAATCTTGTCTCACTTGTGGGAAAATCTGTGAAAATCGTTTTCCATTTTTGGGAAAAAGCGTGAAAATCTTATCCCACTTCAGGGGAAAATCTGTGAAAATATTTTCCCACTTGGTGAAAAGATGTGAAAATATTTTCCCACTTTTGGCACACTTTTTCACAATTTGTGAAATGAAAAGGAATTCCCTGGGAAGAGAAAAATTATGAAAAAATTTTTCCATTTTGGTGGTAACTGTCAATCGCAATGTACTGTACATCAGCACAAAAAAGAGAACCCCCCCCCAATTTTCCGACCTACCGACCCTATTTTCAAAGGCTTGTTTTTCGAAGCAGAATGATTCTTTTTCCTTAGGATTGTATTTCTAAATATGTGTTGAGTACAGCTGGTGTTGGTCTGTTAGCAGACTTGAACATGGATGATGTGAGAATGTTGTGGGTTGTCATGTTGTGCTCACCAGGATTGGAGCTGTATGTTAAGTTTTTCTATTGTGAGAGATATAAAGCTGATTCCAAAATCAAGTTACAGCTCATGTGTTAACAATTCCTGTGCCATTCAGTGCCTGCAGGATTGGACCCCAAATTTAGCTATCAGTTGTTATATCTACAAAATGTAAGCACAAGTGAAAAGACTAATGTTGTCAGTCATATGATTAAAATGATAATGTCCAATTTGGGCATTGACTTGATGTTGCATTTCAATTATTGGCCCAATTTAATGATGGTAGACTAAACATGACAACAGTCTGGACTTCATTTTGTTATCAAATGACTTGACTTTGGAAATGTAAAGTACATGTATGTACATGGAAGCAGTTTGACTAGACTTGAGACTCAAGCAGTGGTTGTCTTGTTCCAACGCTGCCTTGAGGGTCGATGTACACAGATGATTGGTAAGGACTGCATGAGCTTTAGAGATTGTTCAAACTGAAACTGAGGTTTTGTTAGTGTATGCTTTCTAAACACCCTTTGTCTTGAAATATTGAGCTGTTTTGAGCTGAAATGTACAGCCTGTGCCATAAGGGAGATATTAACACTAATTGCACATATTCTGCAGGAATTGGTGTCTGATGCTAACCAACATGTAAAGAGTGCATTGGCATCTGTTATCATGGGCCTGTCTCCAATACTAGGCAAAGAAAAGTAAGTTACCACATCTTAACGTCCATCAGCCTGTTTGTAGTGAGTAGTGTGTCGTGTCTTCCATATTTTTTTCTACACTATACATCAGGCATACAAGCTGGAGTTCTAAACTGATTACTAGGGTCTGCTTTTTTGATGTCACAGTCTTGTTTTTCCTATAAGTGGCTGCTAAAACTATAGTTGGCCATTGGTACAAAAGTAAAGAATAATTCACTAAGGGAATAAATAAGAGCTTTGCTAGTCTTAAATTGGTGTTTAAGACTGGCTTAGGAGAATGAACCCAACTAATGCCAGAGCCACAGGCGAGGGCGGTATCAGCATTCATTCTCCTGAGCCAGTCTTAAGCATTAGGCCAAGCACATACATGTAGTTATTCACATTCATAAATACCTTTTCAAGTCAGAGAGTCAAAAGAAGTCAATATATGATAGATTTCTTGATGGTTTCGTTCTGGAATTTACTTTCAGTTCTCCCACCATCCATTTGATGGTCTATTTCGTGTGCAAGTTGTTCAAAGGAATCTCCTTATATGGACTTGGCACGCATGGTGTACAAGTTGTAAGCAAAATGAGATTGGTCTGTTCACTATTATGTTTTCTCTGTACTACCAGGACATTAAAAATGATACAAAAATAAACTCAAACAACTGGCACAACAACTGTTGTTTGACAGCAAGGATTAGCTCTGACCTGGGCATGAGACCAGCCAATTAAGAGCAAATTATAATCATCCCTGAAGTCTGTGTTAAACTGAGCTTAAAATGAATTTGTCAGTAGGACCACAGCATAACAAGCTATTCATGGAGACAGGTTTACTAAGTAGTGCATGCACAATACTAGCAGTGTCAAGTGGCAGTGCGTAATACAAATATTTATTCATGTACCCTAATATGGATGTAACATATACATGTAGTGTGGGGATTCACATTGATACTTGATCGCAGTGATGCATTTACAGAAGTACAGCTGATAGTTCAACAAGTCCAGTCATAGGAAGTGTAACTTTTTAATGTCAAGTTGATATGACTTGCAAATGCTATTTTAGTCTAACATTATGTTTGGGGGAATTTTGTTGTTGCAGAACCATCGATCACCTGCTCCCTCTATTCCTTGCTCAGTTGAAGGATGAATGTCCAGAGGTCCGTCTCAACATCATCAGCAACCTGGACTGTGTCAATAATGTCATTGGTATCAAACAGTTATCACAGTCATTACTACCTGCCATTGTGGAACTTGCTGAAGATACTAAATGGCGTGTACGACTGGCCATTATTGAGTACATGCCGCTACTGGCCGGCCAATTGGTTAGTAGCCGTGACTCAATTGTGCTGAGTTGTGCATGTCATGAAGCCACATGGAGTTGCTAGCTCATCATGCCTTCATGCATGCTTGCTGCTTCAGTGATCATGCACATCTCTATGCTCATTGAGTGAAATCACATATTCTTGCTACTTTTTCTGTTGTTTGTGTAACAGTTTGTGTGATGGGTATGAAGGTATGGTGTTTATTTAATGACGGGAATCTAGCTGCTACCTTGCAGTCTGTCTGTTGTCTGCTATGCAGTCAGTTTGTCTGTGTGTGACTTGTCATAACGAGTAAAGTGCTTGGTTTAGGTTCACCATTTCCCATTAGCAATGATGTGATCTGTGGTGATAACTTTTTCTAACACAGAGAGCTGGACTCTAAAATAGCAGTTTTCTTTGGCGTAAATGTACCTTTGCTGATGCCCACATGTGACACTTGTTGAGTTCAGAGAGATATTTGAAGAGACTCTGTAGAGCATTCCAATACTCATTCAGTGTTTATTTTCATACTGTAACTTTAGATATCTCTTGCCATTGTGGTGCCCATAAGGGCCCCACATACATTACTTTCAGTAACAGCATACGTAACAAGTTTTTCATCATCCTCATTTGTCCGTGTGCATTGTAATTGCACATTGGCATGTGATGATTTCAAACTTTGCACATGCTATCCATTTATGGCAATTCTGATCCAATTCATGCAAGAATTTTTTTCTCCATAAAGTGTACTGTTTGTCAATGTGCACACTGAGTTGATATGTCTGAGGGCCATGCTCTTAAAGTAATCAGTGGCTCACAATTAAAAATTTTAACTGAAGACCTTATGAAACCAACACATGTTACATTTGTGAAGCTCTGTACACGTCTGAATTTGGAATTTTTTGTTATCATCTATGTATCCATTTATTATTTGGATGTGGATATTGAGCAGAGCCCTTAATCTGTGAAAATTTTAGAATCCATCAAAAACAATGCATTACCATCTGACAAGAGTTTGCCCTCCATAAAACTAAAAGAGAACTATATGGACTTTGAGTTTTAAATGTGTTTGTATGATACACATATACATAGACCGTTGCTATGATGTTAACATACAAATGTTTGCATGCATGGTCTTGCTGCCAGATGGTTGCTCATAAAGTTAACACTCACAAAACTGTTCCAAGTAATCCACTGTAAGGCTTGCTTCACCTTTCAAACTCTTCATAATCTTTGTGTGGTCCATCAGTCGAAGGACTCTCTACCATGTTCTGCTGCACTACTGGTGCACTGTGTGAAATTTTTAGGGCACAGTGAAGGCAGTCTCTATTGCACAGTTGATTACTGCTTCAAATTCACTGCACACATTACACGTAAGCACAGCTTACAAAATCTGAAGGTTTTCTGCGATGTTGTACTCATTACATTGTAAACTGAATTTAGGACTTGTTAGGTGTAATATATGTTTTCCCAGCCAATTTCAGCAAACAGTAGTTTAGTTTAACAGAAGTCCCATTGAAATTCATTTGAAAAATAATGATTTTTATTAATTCAGTTTCCTTATTGAGCATTCTTTCAGTCAATACAACATCTCATTTCACTTTTAGGAATTCAATTTCATTCAAATCCTATATAAAATCTGATTTTCCAAGAGAAAAGGTTTCACAATGGATCTTGAGACAGCTTTTTGTCAACATCGTGTACAAAAATTGTGGTGGTCAAGTTCCTCCAGAAAAGTGAGCTTTGTAGGCTAGGAAAAGCTGATTAACACTTTGCGGGGCAACATTGCAGAGAAAGACCTGTGAACAATTTATTCTTTTCTTTTCATGTTATCATGTTAACCCTAATTTTGTTTCCTTGAACGTGTGTTGACTTTTGCAAGTACGTGTATTTTGGCATAGTCCAAATGTAATCCAATATAGACTCAACTTCATAACACAAAATGAACAGGATCAGTGCATCAAGAACTAGCCGTAGATGCAAACAAAAAATAAAGGATACAAAGGAATCATTCACAATCCTCAAAACATTGATTATGGAACAGGAATAGAATAAAATACACCGTAACTTATAATAAGAGACCAATGGCATTAACTTCTACATTACTCCTAAATTGGACACTCGGAATGCAAAAGAGATTTACAAAAAAAGAAAGTTACGCACAGGTTAAAGATCCTAAACAGGTCAATGAGTTCAAATTTGACTGCTTCTGTTGGGAAAAGGCAGCAGAGATTACACTGAAGAATGGTGACAGTGTGGTCTTGAATGCCCTTACATAAAATGGAATGACAGAAATGAAACTGAATGGCAAAGCTTAAAAACTCTTTACACTTAAACGAATCTGAATGTTGGAATAGGGAAACAGAAAACCATAAATCAAACCGTAGCAGGTGTAGAAATGTGATTGTGTGTCAGCAAAAATGAACGGATGTTTGCTGAAATTTTAAACACAAATCAATGACCCAATTCTTACCCTTTTCCCTGTAAAACAGTACATATTCAGCTGTCACCAGAGTCATAAACTAGTGAGATCAATATTTCAAATATCAATGCTTTTAATTGTGTTCCAGAATTTAAACATTATTTAAATAGGTGAATGGGTCCTTTCATTTCAATACGTTTCATTGTCATGGTTTGTTGGAAATGTGCATTGAAAAATGTGCAGTCACCCTCGAAAGACATGCACTTTGTAGTTTTCAGTTGAGAGTATCCAGCTGTCTTTTCATGCACAAAGACCCATCCAAATCATGTCAGTATACCTGAGATGGCTTCATTGCAATGAGGAATTTAGTCACAAGTTCATTTTCTATGGGATCACTAGCCTTCATTCTCACTGAACCCATTTTGCCTAAAGACTATTTCGACTCATCATTCTATGTTTGTGCAATCAGATATGAGAGATGTTTGTCGACTGCATTCCCCAGGAAAAAAAGAAACAAGAAACAAACTTGCACTAAAGATATTACATGTATACTGGTACAGTGCTGAAGCACAGGGCCAGTGTTCAGAGAAAGGAAGCTTCAACTTCATTTAGTACCTCGCATGTTGTTTCAGATGTGTCTTGTATGCTGCATTTTTTAAGGCAGAAATGCAAAAAAGGTTAGTCAAACCCATCCGTTGCATCCAGAGATTTTTATCAGATAATCCCAAGTGCAGAGCTTGCATTAATAAACTGACAGACAGAGAGTGTATTGACAAGTTGTTAATGTTCAGCCAGCATGGAATAATGAAGTAACTACACCAGCATGGGCCTTCAGTTGACAACAGGAGCTTGACCACCTTGCTAACTTTGTTGTCTGTTGGCAGCTCTGTGTGTCTAGGTCACTTGATGTATGTGCAACATTGCTGCTGCTGAAATGCTGCCAGTGTAATTCTCAGTCAGGTTTACAGGTTATTACCTGACTGATTGCTACACTGTTCATTCACAGTCATTTCTGTTCCAGCAACCTATGCATACATCATTTGACTGGTTTCTTTGAATTGATACAGTTAATTCAAACTTGAAACTTTGCACTTCTGTCATTGTGAATGCTTTGTTTTGAAATAACGTTCATTGCATCCCCCATAGCCTGGGAGACAGAATTTTAGAATTTTTGAAACTAGAACTTGTCACTGAATATGTTTGATGACCATGCCGTTGTTCTGTTGTCAAACTTGCCTGTGGTCAGAATTACGCTTGCTGGCAAAGCGGAATGGTCATACTGTTTCTGCCTTATCCTTTCTATATGTGTGTACTTTGGCTTGCATAGTGTTTAAAGGGATAGTTTGTTTTGTTAGGGAATTTGATACCAGTTGTACAGTCAGAAAAATTGTTCCCACAGTGAGGAACCATACCATCATTCACATGTAGTTGCCATAGTTACATGTTCGTGTGTGAATTTGTGAGTTTGTTTTGAATACCTCACTTGGACACTGAGAATAAAAAGTCTCCAAAATGCAGGGTTCCAAGACTTGTAGACTTGCACACATCCCCACCTTCCCCCAAACTAAAATTCAGTTTGAGCAGTTTAATATGAAGAAAAATTGCTAGACATTCAATTTACTGTGGAATGAAATGGAAAAAAAGGAATATTTGATTTGAGTTGTGCTTTAGACAAAAACAAAGGGATGTTCACATCAGGTATGTACATGTAAATCATGGGTGTGCCACCTTAATGTACCTAGTGTGGACTCATGAACAAAGGGATGTCCACATCAGGTATGTACATGTAAATCATGGGTGTGCCACCTTTATATACCTAGTGTGGACTCGTGAACAAAGGGATGTCCACATCAGGTATGTACATGTAAATCATGGGTGTGCCACCTTAATGTACCTAGTGTGGACTCGTAAACAAAGGGATGTCCACATCAGGTATGTACATGTAAATCATGGGTGTGCCACCTTAATGTACCTAGTGTGGACTCATGAACAAAGGGATGTCCACATCAGGTATGTACATGTAAATCATGGGTGTGCCACCTTAATGTACCTAGTGTGGACTCGTAAACAAAGGGATGTCCACATAAAGCATGTGTGAACTTTTTGTGGACTATAAATCCTACATAAGGTTACCCCTCTTTCATGAAAACAATTTTAGAGGCAAGTTTGGTTCAATGTCGCCAAAGGAACAAAAGTGTGTTTACGGTGCAAGAAATTCTAGTATTTTTACTGAATTTTCTTGACTGCCCCCAAACAAACAAACGCTTACATGAGGTAATGTAAATGCAGGTGAGAGTGTGTATAATATGGAAGTAACAAGTATTCCCACAATAATGCAAGGACTTTGCATAGCATATCCAAGTCGGTATGTGGTTTTTGTTGATGTCCTTTAGAAGCCAGTTGATGTTGGACCTTACATGTCAGATTGACCAATAGTATGAAAAGAATCCATTTATAGACACACCAATGTAAGCCCAACTATCCCTACATGTGTTAATGTCACTATTTGGGTTGATGCGACTGACACAGGGAAATATTAGTAACCACCTGTGTAGGGGTAACAGATTCCGACCCAATAATGCTGGAGGTGGAAAAGTTTGATTTATAAAATCTTGTGAAAGTGGATATTGGTCAGTATTCACACAGTGAACTGACTTGGCTTACCAGAAAGTGCATGCAAAGCACCACTGTTCTGGTCAGTATTATCACCTTCAGGAGTGAAAAAGCTGTCTGGTTTCAAGGTTTCTAGGCAAATTGAATGAGATAATGGTTGAGATGAGTCTCTGGATAGAGTGCCACTGCTTAGGGCAGTCTGAGTGGAAGTTTCTGTCCTCTTTCAGTTTCATTTATCAAATGCATAACTCATAATTCTGGAGAGTAATTCTGACTTTGTGTTTACTGTTTGCTCTGACGTGGAGTGCCTCATGGTGCTCCACATGAGCGGCTGTCAAGCCATACCTGTAATTCATAATTTACTTGTTTGATTGGGAGTTTTTAATTGTCCCCACAATTACGGATCTTTGAAAGTAAAAGTTGGACTTGTTAACCCCTTATGCTGGGACGCATTAAAACATGCCTTAAAAACTGAGATCCTCAGCCCGCTTTTCAGCTGTTATTCTCGGCCCACGCTCGAGCGAACATGGTGAAAGAAGGCAGACCCTGGCTCTTGTGTATATGGTAATTGGTCTTTGTGTGTAGCCAAGAAATGAACAGACCGAATTTGCATCATAATCACCAGCTTCCCAATAGTCCTCACTTTGAAAAGAGGCAACGGGAATGTGGAAGCTTGAGTAGAACCGCATGCCACCGAACAATCAGCCTTTTCACCATGTAATTCAAAGCGTGCAGAGCACGCTGGGCCACAAACCGAGAATTTGCAGTTTGGCAGGTAGCCTTCATGGCTAAGTGAGGCTGGAATTCTTGGAGTCGGCTTTCGGAAAGAAATTCCCGTCGAGAAGGGGTTAAATTGGGCATTGGTAAAACATTGTCTTTTAACACTTGAGTAAACAATGGGTATGATGTGCTAGTGCCTTGTAATATAAAACTGTTTGCGTTCTTTCAATTGTTGGTTCCATTGAATCCACTGACTGACTCCTCATCTGTGCAATTTCTATATCTGCTGATGCTATTACAGGGGGTGGAATTCTTTGATGAGAAACTCAACAGTCTTTGTATGACATGGCTTGTCGATCATGGTAAGTATTTCTGTTGGTAGTCAGTTGCAGCTCCTGGATCACCACAAGCCTGGTCATTTGATAAGCTTTCTCTGCTGCAACGTCATTTAGTTCTTTACAGCAGCATGTGAGATGCAAGGTTTTAAGTGTTTTAATAATTTTATTATCCCTTCCCTTTTGACCTCCAGAAGGCCTTAAGGTTAGACATAAGCAGAAAGATTGAAATAGGATATGAAAAAATCACTGGCTTGCAAGGGCTTGTGTGCCTTTCTCTAAAAACAGTAAGGTGTCATTACAAAAAGGTAATGTCAATTTCATTATGAGCTCCCCAAGGTCAGATTTGATTTTAATGATCTTACAAACACTTCAACGGAAAAAAAGTGTATTTTTAGCCAAAAGGAGAAAACCCTGGCACATTTCATCATGGTGTTTTTGGCTTCTGAGGACTTTTTTTCAACATGTTTATTTGGCATGTATAAGACACCAGTTGTCATTGTGCCCTTATTGTTAATGTTAGGCCTTTTACACTCGTTATTTAATGTACATGAAACTTCCAACTTCATAAGTTTATCTTGGTGATGCGTTCTGTTATGAATTGCTCTTAATGTTTTATAACCTTAAGTAAAACATGTTGAAACTCAAAATGAAAGACTGCTAACTGGTATTGATGCTTTTGTCAGAGTTGTATTTTCTTATGTATAAACTCTCCTGATTCATCACATTTATAATTTTGAAAATTAAAATCATAATGGTTGAAACACTTTATTTCTCTTGACCGGATTCGTTTCCCACAGGCATTTCATGGCACAATTCAGATAAAAAGAAAGTTTATTCTTGGGCATGCCATGTTGCCTGCCTGACTTACCATTATCCAGAAGAACACTCTTTTTTAGAAAAGGTTCAAATGCTGTATTTGTATTAGATTTTGTGCAGACTTCTTAGTCAAAACAATTAAAATAAAATTTAATCACTTCATTTTTACAGTGTTTGCCATCAGAGAAGCAGCCACCAACAATCTCAAGAAACTTGTGGAGAAATTTGGGATTGATTGGGCCCAGGTATGTGCCAAACAAAAATATGGATACACATACACTGTACACATACCTTGAATTTCACTCATAGGTACGTGTCGTCGAAGTAAAACGATCTACTCTACATGTAGGATATGATCAATTACTGAATATTTTTTTTTTGTTTATTTGGGGAAAAGGTTTGGATCTATTAGCTTAAATTCTTTAGTTGTTAAACCTTCTGAGATCAGTGCTTTGGATTGAAAGTAGGCAGGGAGACTTTTCATCATAGGTTTAATGAATTGTGTACCTTCTGTCGACAAAAATGCTTGTGCCTTTTTGGAGTGAACAAGACTTGTGTTTTCCCTGCCCTCCAAAACCACCATGGTTCTAATACAGAGTGTTTATGTTATCCAATTTCTCAGAACACCGTTCTTCCGAAAGTGTTGGCCATGTCTAGGGATCAGAACTACCTTCATAGAATGACTTGTCTGTTCTGTATCAATGTGATGGCTGATGTGGTTGGCGCTGAGGTTACTAACAAGGTTCTGATGCCCGTTGTTGCTACTTTGGCATCTGACCAGGTTGCTAATGTCAGGTTTAATGTGGCTAAAACATTACAGAAACTAGCCCCCAACTTAGAAAGTAGGTGAGTACACCTTTAATTTGTGTAAATGGAACATTGTCTGATTATTATTAGTTAAATGTGAATATTATGACACAGTTGTCACCTGATGCAATTCCTCACTTGAATGCAATAGGTACTGATTGACCCATATCTTGCAGGAACACCTTAAGTGCCTGTGCATACTCTGATGACAAACAGCAAACAGCCCTGATGCCAATTAGCTATGCAATATTGGTATATTGTGTGCACCAAATGGACCTAATACATAAGATATAATCAGATGTCCTTGTCTCATTATTTGGTCCCAGGAGTTCATGCAGTCATGTATGATGGTGCACATTGTCACATCATTGATCAAATTAGGTGAACACAGCTGGCAAATTTGTTACGATACCCAAAGTTTAGCTTAATGCTTATACTTTTTTCCTTGCCACTTTGCTGTGCTGAATCCATTTTTCACTCACCTGTGCTCAGGATTATACATGTATTCACAGATGTAAACATTTGTTATTTGGTGACAATTGTGACTTACAGCTGGAAATGTAACTTCACTGAACTTTGTATACAACATTCAGGGTACCCCCCCACCTTTTCCAACGATGTAATGGGTATAATTTCTTGAAATGAATGTGTTGCACGTTCCAATGATTTTTGTTTTATAGTTGTGTGCAGAGCCAGATAAAACCCATATTGGATAAATTGAACGGAGATTCTGATGTGGATGTCAAATTCTTTGCCCAGGAAGCAATTGCAGGTAAGCAGTGCTGAAAGTAACCACAGTAGCATTAGTTAGCAGTTCGTTACCTGTTACCATGTTCCTGCTTTGGTCAAGTCACTTGTGCTCAATGTGTCCACAAGGCTTCATGCAAGGACTTCAAATGTAATTATTGTCTTGATTATTCCTTTTTAGCCTGCTCCTAAATCGGCCAGCTTCCGTGGATAGTTTTTGTGCTTACTACTAGCTGGATCTGTTGAGATAAGACTCCCAATTTGCACAATGGCTGTTTGCTATAGCTCAGATAAGATAATCCTGCAGGTAACTTATTGAAACATGATATGTACTGTACATGGTATCGACTGTGTTAATATAGTGAATGTATTTGTGAGCAATCAACCTGATGACATTTACTTTGTGATTTTGCCTGTTAACAGTGGCGTAGCTAGGATTTCACTTATGGGGGCATGAAGGGGGAACCAGCATCTTGGGGGGCCTCAGCTTTCAGCATTTTTTTGGGAGGGGGGGGGCCAATTTTCGTTGGCCTTGTTCAATAGCCATTCATTTGGTTTTTTAATGGTACTGAACTACCGTTATGTTAAGGTGCAGTTGCAGCCACAGTGTCAGAGGGAGGGGAATAAGAAGCTGCCCCTAGACAAAAATTAAAAAGTAAAAAGATAGGAAAAGAAAAGCTGCAAAAGAAATCATAAAAACTTTACGGTGATAAAATCATTAATTTGCTGGGGGAAAAAACACAGCAAACCAAAAAAAAAACCAAAACAAAGGATCAAACCCTGACCCCTTTCTACTATACTTCCCCCAGACATTTTGCCCAAAGAAAAAAGGGCCATCTCTACCCTAGAACAATTCCTGGCAATGCCCATTTGTAGAGTTTTCAAGATTTTTTTAAAGGAACTCGCTGTAAAATGGACTGTGACAAAGAGTTTCATATAAGGGCACTTGTCAATCATCTTGGCAGTACTTTGTCATTTGCCCCATGAACATTATGGATGATTTATAAAGCAAATTGTGAGACACACAATTTGTTTTTATGCCAGTGAAAATAATTTTTCTTGGACGTCTTGATTGTAATTTTTAATGGTTTTCTTGGTAGTCAGATGCATTGCATGGTCTTCAAGCGTGGTGGTTTACCCTTCAGAATCAATTTTACCTGCAGACAGGCTATGTTGCACCACATTTTGAAGCCTTATGCCCAAACAATCAGCTGTTCTTTGTCTTTAACATTTCCAATGTTTTTCTCACATTCAACTGTACTCACCCCAGCTATTAATAATGTGATTCATGATTTTGTATTGTGATACCCTATTGTGGCATTTCAGTCATGCAACTTTTGGAGCATTTGTGCATCGTTACACCCCTAACAGTGTCTATTGAACATAAATTCACTCAAAAAATATGTAGTAATTTGTTGGGTTGTTTTATTTAATCTTTGGAGAGTATATGTGAACTTATTATACTGACAGATTATTTTCCATCAGTGTTGCTTTATAATGAAAGTTAAGGCTGCAAAAGTGATACACATGTTCGTGTAACTTATTCTGAATTAACTGCAATGTAGATTATCTTTGAAGCATATAAAGTTGTCTGTTTGCTTGGTGAATTCCATCTGGTCATAGTTCAACCCATCTGAACATTGATTACCGTAATTCATCTACTCCCAACACACTAATCGGCAGTGCCATCTTACGATTGACAAACACTACATTGAACAGTGAACTTTTACATATTCAATGTAACCAAAGACAGTAATTCAAGAATAATGCATACTCTTGGAACTGAGTTATTTACACTAAGATCGCTTGTGTGGTTTTCGTATGTATGTAGTGGGGTATTTACCTCCTCAAATGCCAAGAAATGGATTTGGTGGAAATGCAGCTTTGTTCTTTACTTCAGCCATTGCATTGCTCTTGTGAGAATACTGTGTGTTAAAACAGTTATTTCTTAGGCAGAAACTGCACGGTAAAGTGTTTTAATCAAACAAGTTGTCAGATTTACTTTGGCTTTTTTACGTTAATAGTTTTTACTAATAAGCACTCTGACAGAACCATTGTTTCACTGTGAAGGAAGCTTTCCATAAACTACAATATAGCATCCATCTTAATTGGTCCTACAACCCCTATTAGCATTGTGTGAAAATGATTTGCAGAACGCTAGTCTTAAACTGATATATTTTGGATTCACTACCAAGCCTCTTACTTGTGGATTAATTTCAATTCTTAATGAGTGATCATTTTGTATTGTGCGTTCTCATGAAAAATCAGTGTCTGATTAGACTAGACCAACATACAGTGAGACACAAGCAATGAGCCTGTGTAAGATGTAGATATTGAAAAGGCTTGTCATTGTGTTCCTTGAGTTGCTCTGGAATGTCAAAGTGCATTAACTGTACCGAAGTGTGTGGAATTCTCATTGAATCGGTTTTAAGTATTCAAACCGAAACCCAAGAATAGCTGTTTCCTGTTGCATCATGAAAAAAAAAAGAGTTGATGGAAATTTCCCCCAAAGAAAATTAAAATGGGATGAATTTTCTCAAAGTGCGTTTCTGAAGCAGCTTAAATTTGAAACGGGTATACATGTAGAAGAAAAAACAGTACCCTCACAGAAAAGTTTTTGGGGTGCTAAAAGATTTCTGCTTTGTATGATTACTTGCATGTTCAAACTTCAGGTAAATAACCAGAAATAGGTATGGGTAGTTTTCTTAAGACCATAGTCCAAAAGGGGCAACACTGCCTTAGTGAGTCATTTGGTTGGGATAGTTTAGAGTTTCAAAAGATTGGCGCAGGAAGACGGTTTATAGTGAATTCTTTTCCTGTTTTTGCTAGGCTCCCTTTTTACTCAAAAATCATACAACTTCGTGTCAAGCACTCATTCACATCAGTGTCCAAAGCATTGTCTCAATATTGAATAACGGTAATGATGAATGAATAAGTTGGTTTTCCGTGTTGTATTTGGTGTGATGTACATAGAATGTAAACTCTGAGAATAAAGGCCTCTCCTAAGCACCTACATAAATTGTACTTGCATATGACATCTGGTTTGTTTTCCATACCATAATACAATGTAAATTAGAATTACTGTTAACTTGTACTCAGTGTTCAATACATTATTATTTCTTCTGTTTAATATACATTATTGGAGTTTTTACATTTGGATCAGTATGTGATCTTCACAACTATTATAGGCTTGAAGTTAATTTGCATATGAAGAATTTGTGAATATTGTTGCAAGTCCTAAATGAAATCAAGAGGTGAATATGTGTGAATGCTACCTGACCATTTGTTCTTGCTTAAAGTAGCTTGTCGCTGAGAGTCTAGTCAGCCCCATCCAGAATATTGACACTGCTGACATGTTACCCAGTTACATTGTGTGAAACTAATTAAATCAAAATTTGGTTCCTTTCAAGCTTTGTGTTTGAGTAGCAGCCCTAAAGTGTTTACATGGCACCAAAGAGAAAAGTTACTATTCTGTAGGTTTGGATGCCAGAAACATCACATGAGCCAAATAAACGTTGGAGTTTCTTTTATGACCTCTTTATTTAACTTCAACTGGTTTTAGTTCAGCTAATTGGAAAATTACGTTTTTTAAACAACCTTGACATTTCCATTACACCATTACTTTCCTTTGTCATCGTAGAATTATGTTCACGTAAGGGTCACCCATCATCCATCTAGCTCCCCACTGCATGTCCCAATTACTGGCCTTTAACAAGATTAGTGTGAACGATTTCGGAATGATTGTTGAACTCTTCCCTGTATCCTGTATACATGCCATATATACAAATGTATATTTGTATAGGCTCACAGATAAAGTACACATGCCGGGAAGGGGTTCTGTAGTCTGTCTGGGCAGCCAGGCAAAAACCAACCCCAGTAATTCCGTGATGCTGCACTTCAACAAAACAAACAGAAAATGTGTACGGCATGAAGGCTTGTCTATGCTGCTGGCCATAAGCCTTTCCTGTAATATTCCACTGAAAGAAATGAAACCGTTTGAACACCTTATCCTGTTCTATTGCTTTGTATATTGCCACATGTATTCTCCTGGCTTTCAGTTAACAATTGTTGCCTGCGGTGTAAGGGTCCATTGTGTTTTGTACACTCGAGGGGTCAATTGGCACTTGTGGCAAAGCTGAGGGTGCCACTTTCCCCCGAGGGTGTACAGAACCCATGGACCCTGTCACTGCAGGCGATAATTGTTTTGTTATACCTTGGTCACAGATTTCACCGGAACGCTGTTATATTCGTAATACATGTCTATGCATATTTCATTGCAAGATAAATTAAAACACTTCGACAAATTGAAACAGATGAACAGTATTTAGACATAAATTTCAAGGAAAATTTTTGATTGTGATATCCTCTGTTGACTGATGCTTTTATGTTTTCGTGGGAGAAAAATCTAGGATTTATAACAAACTTGTTTAACAGAGAAACTTGTGATCCTTAAAAGATTGGGGTCAACAGCTAGGACAATCGCAGCAGAAGCAGAGATCAGAGCATATTCTTGTGTTCTGTGAGTGAAGTCACATATGTTCACCACAGAATTTAGTTAGTGCACATGAACATTGAAAATGTCTATGCCCGATCTTGCTATTTTTGGGCAGTTTGAGTGATGACAGTAAACAAACTTTTCTAAGATGTAAGGCGATTGGACTATAAAAGTTTACCACTTCAATTCAAAGTAAAGTTTGACTTTTAATGTGCGGATTCTTGTTATTTGAAAATTTGAAATTTGTTTGGAATTATTAAAATCATGATTTTAAACCGTAACTTTTTTCCCTTCTATAAACAAACTGGCCCCAAACCACCCCTCTTTTTTACTTTATTTCACCCAATATTGAGTTTTTTCTGGGAAAAGGACACCTATATACATGTAGTCCAGATGTTGATCTAGCTTCCTTTCAAATGTCATGGCAGCGACTTCGATAGATTTTTGTAGAATTGTGAATTAAGCTAGTACTGGCTTACTGGGTGGTGGCTTACTTCACACTGCACTGCCTCATGGTTTCTGATTTCCTTCACCATCTATATCACACAGATTTTATTTTGATGAACTCCAAACCCTTAAAGTTGAGTAGTTGAATAGGTTTCCACATGAAATGCCTCATAAACCATTTTGGAAAATCTGAAGTAATTTTAAATTGCTCTTGAGGTCAAAAAATTGGTGTCAGAAAACTGAGCACACTCCCTCATCGCTGATCGAACTTGTGTTAGGCCGTGCAAATCCGTAGTAAGTGGCTGTGGCTTAGAGCAACTTGGGAATGAGAAATAACAGCATCCTCAGGCGAGTGGCTTCCACAGGTTGACATGTCATTGTCTGCCGCAACTGGGACTTGGATTTGCCAACATGGCTGCTTAGAAAGTAAGTAGGGAACTACATGTATTATGTAGGCATGAATTATGTGAACAAATTTTCCAACTTGACATGTAACATAACATGGGGATTTTCTAGGAGTCATAAATAAAGTGTTTTTCATTGACTTTCAGTGTATAATATCTTTCAATAAGATTCACAGCCAAGTGGAGGAGGGGGGAATAAATTCACTCGACATCAAGAAGAGACATATACAACTGTGGCAATAACCCTGTCCTGGTTCACCATCATACAGTTCCACATAACATGCGGCCTTGTCATGGCATGAGACTGCAAACATATAGTCCAACGTAACCAGTCCGCTCTTGTAAATGTCATTTTGAGCCTAAATTTGTTGCTAATGATACGTGACATAAACATTAGTGCATGGACCACTGCCACAAGAGCGGTACATGTATTGCCATCAAGTGTCTCAAAGTCTCCCATCTACTGAATGCATTTTGTATAGATCTGTAGAGTTGTAATGGGTCATCTGCAGCCAGTCCCTGAACTTCTTATCTGCGAACTACCTGCAACTACCTAATAAAATATGACTGGATTGCTTGAGTTTTTACAATCACTGTTTCCACAAGTTCAAATGTATAGTTGTGCTGATACTGACTGTTCCCTTTCCACCTTCTGATACTGGATGTGAGAGCAATGAATAGAATCTTGATCAAGGATATTAGCATTGGAGCTACAAGGGTTTCACTAGGCACACATCATCCTGTTATTTCTGCAGGACTTGAGAGATCTTGTAAAACTACATTTCTCATATCAGAAGGCAATTTTTTACATTTTAATAAGATTTAAATAACAGACAACAGTTCTTTTGCTTAAAATCATATGTAATTTTATATTTTGGTTAACCAAGACTGGTTTAGGATCCCCAGATTAATATAATGCATCCAATACCCAGGGAATGTGAAAAAAATGTGCCCACGGTGGCTAGGATCTACCCATAACAACTGGCATCCCATTTAGGGGAAATAGAAATTATATTCTTGTTGTGGTTTAAACTAGATATAAACACCCACCTAACAACTCAATTTATTGCCTCAGACCAGACCGACGGGTAATGAACACGGGTGGCCTTGAGTACTGGTGGGCTATGGTTACAGGGAACGTGTTGTTTGGTACTGGAAGAGGTTGCGTAACGTTGGTATCAATGTAGCTCTATTGATCTTTCTTCATCGATCTTGCGTCGTCGCACTTTTGTCATTTTTTTTTACATCACTCTTTTTTCATCACTCTTTTTTCATCGATCAATGTGTATATCGATGTAGGGAAACGATCAATTGATGTAGAAGAACGATCGATCGATGTAGAAGAACGATCGATCGATGAAGGGGAACGATCAATCGATACTGAAGTGCATCGATGCGGTGTTGTGATTCTCTCTTTTTGTATTTTGTAACTTGGATTGGTTTCGATTTGACGATTGACGTTGTCGGTATAAAGCCAAAGAGCTGCATATATCGGCCAACGTATACATTCGCAATCGTTGTTTTTGACGTTTATAACCGCTTCTTTGAGTGGTATATATTTGGGTAGCTTGATGTAAGTACCACCCAACGGATCATAAAGCGCCACGTTGATATGACGATTTCGTCGATTTGAAATCCAGATCCGTTGTGGATAAATTGATATAATTCCCTCTAAGAATCGTTCCTTCTGTTCTTCCAACACGTCCTTGACGTTTGTTCCTGAAACACCGTGACTTTTTCGCTTAAAAATGTAAACGTTTCTATAACGATGTCTCCTTGATCTGGTTTATCTTTTGAAGATTGGACTTTGATCGCTATTTGGAACTTGTAAGCTGCTAATTTTCGCAATTCAAACAACGTTTTTGATTCGATATCCTTTTTGTGTGAAGCAAAAAAGCGAAAAAATTAGATCGTTGTTCGTGTTTCGTCAAACAATTCTGGTTGGATGTAAGCTTTGATCGCTGCAATTAGATCTCTTTGCAGCATGTGAGCGTTTCTACCCGTGGCGATTGTATGTAATTGGTTTTTTTGCATTACTTGGAGTAATTCTTGATATGTTTTGCGATCCAAGTATTTAAACTGTTTTAGGTACTCTTTGATCGCCTGTACCGGTATGTGTTCCTTGCGCATATGCCGTCCAGGCCTCCGCGGTGCAGGTAAAGGAACGATATGTCGTTCGATATAGGCCTACTCCAATAATTAAAAAAATGATTTTTTCCACGAATAATAGCCGTAAGAATTATGTCTGTATTCTAATCTGACGTTACGATTCGGTGACATCTTGTATTTTGGAATTATTATTCCATATTATTCCTTATATTATTATTATTATAAGTATTTAATGTGTATGTTTAAAATTTTCCTCCTTTTTATAAGGGGTTAATTTTATTTAGATGCATTGATCGTTCGGTTTCGTCTCCCTCACCAAGCAGATGCGATGTTGCTGTTGTTGGATATCTTTTTTGGCTTGGGCCATCACGTTGTCGTCTGTGTCGGCACAGCGGTCGATGGGACAAGAAACCAAGCGGCGTGTGCGCCCACCATCTTTGCGTATTCGAATTAACTCGCGAAAATGAGATCCATGGTTTGTCGTCAATGTTTGGAATTTAAGATTTTTTTTGTTTTCAAAGAAGAGCTGCGGTGAGAGCGAAAGAATTGCTCCCTCGTTTTTTGAGTTTTGGGTTGGAGAGTTTTGGGTTTGGGAAGATTTTTTCGAGTTTTTAAGATGGGTCCCGAACTCTCCATTCTCTAGTACTCCAGTTTATCGACAACGACGAAAAGCGTCGTCTGTTAGCGCAAAAAGGGCAGCTGCTGTTTAGGATTGAGCATACACAGTTCTAAATTGAGTTAATTTCCGTTAAGGAAATGGGACACGAACATACGTGAAGTACCACCGCGGCTATCCACCCTCGTACCCAAGCTTACTTAATTACAACGTAGTAGGCAGGACACATCAACTGTGGGAAATATCACCGTCATCCATAATTTTTTTGCGGCCCGGCAACATCGCCAGTGCGCGTGACGCGTGAATGATACATGCGCGCTTGTGACATATTGCGTTCGCAACCAATAAAAATCTATGACCGTGGTATAACAAAACTATTAAAACACATACGTAAGCTATTGAACACCTTAACAGTCGTGGAGGGTTCCTGAGCATTTTGTAGTACAATCATTCAAACTCTCAGTATCACTTATGCATACCTCAATACATTCAACACGCGTAGACAATTTTCTCCTGTGGAACGAGGGCTTCAAGAAGTGGTGGAAGGGAGAGGGGGTCGTACAAATGGCAGAATGTTATATTTGCACTTTTTTCTCTATAGTCTGGAAAAGTGACCGAATGGCTACATCACGTGAAAGAGTTAACTCTTATTGGATTGGAACACTGTTTGAAAAGTGTGTGGTGAACAGGCTTGAAGAACATACCAATTTAGCTGGAGCGTTGCAACAATCTATGACATTTTCAATCCGCTTGTGAACGGGAGATAGACAAAATGTGATCAAGTCAAGTCATTTATTTCTCCACTTTTAGACGTGTTCCTAGTTGTTTCAAGGGGCAAATCTTGCACGGAACAAAAGAATAATCATGCCCGTCTTTCATATTTGAAGACATCGGATTGACGGTAATTCGTGGTCTGGGAGAAATTTTAACTGTCGCGTGTTAGTGATTTAGGCGGGAAACGCATACATGTGCATACAGTTCCTCACGTTATGGAAGTGATTTGCGCTTTCTTAAGAAGTACTTTCTCTATGGAATCTATAATCAGCACAAGAATATAAAACAACCAATTGTGTACAATCTAATCGGTTGTTTTCAAACTATTTTACAATAATGCATTTGTTGCAATAAGCAATCGTCGGATTTTACAAAGCTGCTTTTCTCACAAACATACAAAAGGCCAACAGTGCCATGAGGTAAATGTATATATTTTCAAAAAGTGAAGTGTTTTTTCAACTTTGTTTTTCGAAATTTTCTTTGAAGTTTATTTTGTTGATATTGTAACGCAAATGTCTGATGACCTTTTAAACTCCAGAGGAATGGAAGTGGGGTTGACCGGTGATGCACTTAGTTAGGTTTCGGGTTAGGTCTGGGAGTTTGGAAACTGGGGGCCGTCAAGTATGTCCAGTCAGGGGTATGGAACAAAGGGGGTATTGGTATAACTGCCAGGGGATTAGACAACGTGTTTTCAGTGAGTAAATGCTAGAATTGGGAAAATTAGTCAGTCTAAGCCGAGCTGCCGAGGAATTCAGGTTGGATCGACCGACACAACTTTGGTACCGGGATTTAACCAATGTGTAGACGATTGTGACTAAACCGTTAGTTCATCTTGGATTGTGCATAAGGATTGGGTACTGACGGGACGTTTGTAACTAATTCATGTGAGTACATGACCCAGGACTGTACCATTATTTAATATTGTGACAGTGTATCTCGGCAGGGCGAGGGGGTGCGCGATGGGTCCTTATGCCCCTCCTTGCCGTTTGTAAATGTTTAGCATTACTTGATTTGTTAGGGTACCTCACGCGTTGAGGAATTGAGTGGAAGTTAATAAACCAGCTAGAAGTAGACGGTATCACACATATCTTTGCCGGGCGTGCCATTTCGTTCAGCTTCCCTTGGCCAAATCACGCGTGAGCGGCGCCGCGACCGGGCTGAGTGGCCCAGCGAGCGAAAGATTCACTGACTACGGAGGAGAAACGACCACAATACGTAATTTTAGAAATTTATATTGATTTTATGAGACACATTTGACAATATTCAAACAATGAATTTATCATAACTAAAGGCCGGTTGATACCTCGGGCGAAATTTCGATGCAAATTTGTAATGACACCAACTTCGCTTTTCTTGCACATTTGCCTGCAGTATCAGCATTAAAGGTAGGTTTGTCAAGATAACTTTATGCGTCACTAAAGAGTTTAGATGTGTTCAACGAGTGCTAATTTGCAGCGCAAAGATTTTATCTGACTTCAAAAGTTAGCGTTTGTGTTCGCTTTCACACCACGTATGAAGCGGCCTTTGAAATTACTCAACGAGTCAGCCTGAGCGCACTTGGAACACACGTACATGTACATGTATGTTTCAGCGAGGCGAAGCGCATGCAGGGCGCGTGATCAGTGCGTGATTGCCGCCTGAGAGGATGCCGGCCAATCAGCGCAACGCTAGGCTTCGCGCTCGCAGGCAGCGTGTGGCAGTGGCTAGCAGAACAGAAAAGAGGCAAGACGTCCCACGATATCGTGTTATTTACTGGTCATTAGAGCAAGAAGAAATCGGAGAAATCAAGAAGAATGTAAGTGAGAGAAAGGAGACAAATTAAAGCTAATCAGTTTGAGAATAATAGAGGAATCTAAAAGCTGTGTTTGGTGTGTTATTATTTCTGTGTTTGTCAGTCCTTGTACTAGTCGTAAGTCCGTGAAGTGTTGTCAGTCCCGTCTCGTCCCCCCTAAATCCTGAGTCTGTCAAGCCTTTTAGACTGTGATCTGGCCGTGTTACACTGGCAGCAGCGGTGGGATTTCAGCCCCGAAATCCTGGATTCTACTGGGAGAAACTAGACGGAGAACAACCGAGGAGGAAAGTGTCGACTTAGGATAGACGGAAAGCCGAAGCACGGCAGTGGTGTATACCGAGCCGGTGCGAGGAACAACGGATGACTTAGCAGCGAATTACGGCAGTGGTGAATACTGAGCCGTGCGTGTAGAAACTAGGGGACTCTGCGTTACGCAGTCTGGTTGTGGTGTATACCGAGCCGGTGCGTGGGTCAGCACAAGTGGCCATCCGCCGGAATAGTCCGCTGGAACCGTCCGCCCGGAACACCCGATTCCCGGATCGAGCCATTTGCGCGGAGCCTTCTACATCCGCCCGGAGTGATTCCGCCCAGATCGCCATTCCGGCCGGAGAAACTGCCGTTTCGGAGCACTCAGTTCGAGTTTAATTAAAATAAAAGATCAAATTAAAGACGCTGAAAGTTTCTGATTGGCGCACAATGGATGGGTCTGGTATACAGAGACTCCCTTCACGCTATTCTACCCTAGGGGGTTAGACTTGTACAATGCAATTGAGAGGGAGTATGAGAGGGTTTCCCATGAAATTGAAGTACGAACACAAAGCTTAAGCTCGTTTTTGGTCAGCCCGTAAGCCAGACAAATGCAGCATGACCCTGGAGCCAGCGCATATGGAAATCATGGAGAAACATGTACTGGGAAAGAAGGATATAGCCCAGGTATCTCTAGCGAGCACCCTCAACCACATCCTAGAGTGAATGTCCCGTGTACGGAGCCACTATCAGTGTAGTAGGCAGTAAAGTCCCACTAACAGGGTACAAACAAGTGAAGACTCCCGTCACGAATGTCCAACTAAGGGATGAATCAAGCATGTGGCACGACTCTGGGATGGACATTTCTGGCAGTCTTTTCCGAACCAGGGAACAAAGAGACCCCTACTAAATTCGACAGATGGTATGGCCAAAACAAAGCTAAGGTGGTGATACGAAAATTGCGTCATCCACGAGGGAGAGCAAGGGCTTAAGCTTCCAACCGACGGCTCAGAGAACAGGCGATGACCTGCGAGGAGTACAGAGTATCGGTACAGCTGTATCTCTTCCACTGGGAGACAATTGTCATGACCATCGAACTCCCCACGATAAGATGGACTGGAGAGGGATAAGATATGTTGACCAGACTGAATGCTTGCCCAGTACGAAAAGAGAAAACCAGAGTACAAGCAGACAACCAGCAACCGTCTCACACGTCGAGCCGCTTCTAGAACCCGTTCAGCTCTGCAAAATATGGGGGGAACAGTCAACCCCGCCAGTCCGGAATCCACCATTTGTTGACCCAAAGAGACAACCACCGATGACTGGTTTGGAAAAATTGAAGAAGGTTGGAATACCGAAGTATTGCCTTTTATGACGAGCAACTGCCAATCGGTCGCTAAACTACAAGGACAAGCCGAGGCCACCCTACCAGAGAGGCGAAGTGCCACTGATGAGTCTAGGAGCCCCATGCCAGGGTTGTCGCCTATCATCACGGCAGTCCCAAGATTGACACAACCGCGGCCGGGAGGGAAGCAAGACCAGTTTAAGTGAACTGTACTGCCTGTCAACAAAGGTGACAGAGCTGCAGAGGCTAAGCTAACAGAGTCCCACCAGGGCAAGGAGAGGCCGATCATAAAACCTGACCGTTATGATGAAAAGGGGCCGTGGAAGTCCTATCGCAAACCCTTTGAGATGTGTGCAGGCATCAATGGTTCAGACGACAAAGAAAAATGTCAGTACTTCGCTGTACTTCTTCCCGGATCGGCACAACAGACCCTTGGTAGTCTTCAAGCCGAGGCTAAGGACTACAAGCAACTTGTTAAGTCCTTGGAGTCCCGCTTTGATCCTTTGGGGAGGAAGGAACTGCACAGAGCTCAGCTGAGAAACCGCCGACAGAAGTCCTTGGAAAGCCTCGTAGAATTGGCAGAGGAAATTGGGCAGCTTGTGGACAAGGTGTATGCTGACCTGCCAGAAGATAGCCGCGACAGAATGGGGCGTGATCATTTCTTGGACACACTCCACGATGGACAAATCCGGACAAGAATCATCCAAATATGAGCGAGCACATTGGATGAAGCAGTGGCGGCTGCTGTGGAACTTGAGGCGCTATACAAAGCCGAGAAAGAACGTCGGTCCTCGGATCTGAAGAAACTCAGAAGCGCAACTGTTGAGGCAGTTCAGGTTGAAAAACCTGTAGTTGAGATTAGTTCATCAGGGAGAAAGACCACTTGGAACAACCGAAAGCAGCCCTCCGAGAGAGGCATCAAGTGTTTCAAGTGCCAAGATTTTGGGCACGTGAAGGCCAACTTTCCTCAGGTGGAGAAGGGTGAGACCAAAGAAATAGGACAGGGGCAACAGAAGTCATCGGGTACAACGAGTCCTCATCAGAACCAGGGAAACCAGTGGAAGCTGTGCCTGAGGGCCAAGGTACAGCGGGAAAAGAGGGGTCCATGATTATTGATTTACAGACTGAGAATGTTGCTGCTGTTGGTGAAGGCATGCATTTAGATACAATTATTAATGGGGTACATGTGGACACATTGGTGGACACTGGGGCAACAGTGTCTCTGCTTTCAGCCAAGGTTGTCAAGCGGTGGTCAGAACAGGACCAGGCTACTGTGGTGAACACTGATGACATTAAAGTCTTACTGGCGGATAACAAAGCGTTACCAGTGGCAGGAGAAGTGGAGGCTGAATTACAGCTTGCAGGGAATAGTGTTCGGCACCTATTTACTGTGGCTTCGATCGGAAATAAATTGCTACTGGGATTAGACAAAAGGAGCCATGTCATGGTTGCACCCTCGGTATTCAGCATTAGTGCTGACATGATACCCCTACGCTTCTTGAACCAAGGGGAGGATCAGGTCATCCTTCACAAGGGAACAACAGAAGCAGCATTTAGTGCAGGAGATGCAATAGGCCCCGAGCTCACAACGCAGGACAACCCTACTGAGGTTCCTGAGCTTGTAAGAGCAGCTGTCGAAGAATTGACTTCTGTTAACGAGTCAGACAATCCGACTTTGCCCATCCATCTGCAAGATCTGTATCAAAGGTCTTCAAGACTGCCCGACACGGAGGAGCGTCACAAGTTTAAAAACCTCTTGATCAAGCACGAGCACCAATTTGCCACACATGACGGTGATCTAGGACGGACTGAACTCGTTAAACACCGAATAGAGACCGGGGACGCGGCCCCCATAAAACAGAGACCAAGACGGCTCCCACTTCATCAAAGAGATGTCGCCGAAGCTGAGGTGGAGTCCATGCTAAAGAGAGGCATTATAAAGCCAGTTAAAGGGCCCAGGGCCTCGCCAATCGTCTTGGTGAGGAAGAAGAATGGGAAGGTACGGTTTTGTGTTGATTACCGACGGCTGAAGGCCATTACGAGGAAGGATGCCTATCCCATTCCTCGTACTGACGAGACGATCGAGACGTTGTCTGGGTCAAAGTTGTTCTCAACTTTCGATCTTGCTTGGGGATATTGGCAAGTCCCTATGGATGACCAGCATAAGGAGAAGACGGCTTTTGTCACACCTAGCGGATTATATCAGTTCGAAGTGATGCCCTTCGGACTTTGCAATGCGCCTGGAATGTTCGAACGCCTCATGTACGGCGTATTGCAAGGGTTACAGTGGCAAATATGTCTCGTGTACCTGGATGACATAACTGAATACAGCACTTCGTTCGAAGAGCATGTGCAGCGCCTGGAGCTGATTTTGGGAAGAATAGTGGCCACCGGGCTTAAGCTCCAACCCAAGAAATGCGAACTGTTTCAAGATGAAGTGGCCTACCTTGGACACATCGTTTCTGCCGACAGGGTGAAGACGGATCCAATTAAGATTCAACGAGTGAAGGACTGTTTACTTTGTGAGGTATTTCCGCCCATACGTCTATGGCCAGAGATTTAGACTGCGAACAGATCATGGAGCCCTCAAGTGATTGTTTTGGATTCAAAGAGCCAGTGGGACAAGTAGGCAGATGGTTGCAACAGTTGGCAGAGTATGACTTCACCGTAGAGCACAGGCCAAGGCACAAGCACGCTTATACAGATGCAATGTCAAGGATACTCTGCAACCAATGCCAACGTCCACAGGAGACTGAGAGTGAATCAGGTGCGTCCTCGGACTATGACGTGCCTGTTGGAGGTGTGGAACCACCGGAGACAGCTAGGAAGATTTGTCCTACCAAGGCACGGCATACAGGATTACATGAAATCGAGGCCTTAAGCTGTCGGGCAGCAAGTGCCGTGCCGGCAAACTGGTTGGAAGGTGTGACCATCACAGAACTACGCGAGCGACAGAGAAGAGATCCTGTCCTATGTAAAGTGATCCAGTGGCTAGAAATCCTAACTGTCCGCCCAACCTGGGAAGAGGTCTCAAGCGAAGTCGTTACTCTGAAGACACTGTGGGGAGCATGGAAACAGCTGTGCCTCAAGGAGGGGGTGCTACATTGCAGATGGGAGAATGACACCGGAAGTGAGGTTTGCTACCTGCTGGTGGTCCCTTCTGAAATGCAGGGAGACGTCCTCAGGCAACTGCACAATGCCCCAACTGGAGGGCACCTGGGAACTACAAAACTGTACGAGAGAGCCAAGTGCCGTTTCTATTGGCCAAAGATGCGATATACCGTTTAAAACTGGGTTCATGAATGCCTCGAATGTGCGAAGCAGAAATTGCCCAACAAGACCAAACGAGCGCCACTTCAACAGCAGATTTTTGGAGTCCCTCTAGAGAGGGTAGCAATCGATATCACAGGCCCATTTTCTGAGACTGCTGCCGGGAACCGCTACATAGTAGTTATAACAGACTACTTTACGAAATGGACTGAAGCGTACCCTGTGGCTTCAATTACTGCTGATGTGGTTGCTAATGTCCTCGTCAACGAGTTTATCAGCCGCTTCGGCACGCCAAGTGACCAGGACAAGACTAGAACGACACCATACCACCCGCAAAGCGACGGGCAGGTAGAAAGGTTTAACAGAACCCTTAAAGTGATGTTGTCGTCATATGCATCTAAAGACCAGAAAGGTTGGGATCTACATGTACCTGCCATCATGATGGCATATCGAGCGTCACCTCACGAGAGTACAGGAATGTCACCAAACTTAATGATGTTTGGTCGCAAAGTGAAGCTTCCAATCGATGTCATCTGCAACTCTGCTCTGCCAGGCGAGTCGCTGGATGCCCCTGACTACGTGGCTGACTTGCTGAAGAGATTAGAGTTGGCTCACGAAAAAGTGAGAAAACCCTTAAAAAATCTGCCTGCTATCAACGCCGGCACTATGACCATAAAGCAACCAACGACAGCTACAAAGTTGGTGCAGCAGTCATGATGAGAATCAACACCGGGAAGGTGGGGGTATGCCCGAAGTTGCAGCCGAAAATTGATGGTCCCTACCTCATTATGGAGACCCTCAGTGATGTAGTGGTCAGGGTGCAGAAGAGCCCAAGACATAAGCTGAAAGTGGTTCACACAAAGTTGTTGAAACCATTCCATGGTGAGGTAGATCGGTCGTAGCTATGCCGTGAAACGGAGTCATCATCTGCTGAAACAGCATTAGAGGTACCCGATAATCCACCAGTAATGTCCGACAGGGTTGACGACAGTGAGCTAGGCAAGGTTCCAGACAAAGAAGAGATAGGTGAAGCCATTGACGATCCGGATGAGGGAGACGAGCCAGTAGTATGGGACACTACTGATGATCAGAGTACAACATCCGAGAACCAGAGGAAGCAGAACAAGCCACCTTTATATCCCAGAACAACACTGACAGTGAACCTTTACGAACTAGGCGCAAGCGTAAACCCCCTGATAGGTTTGGCGATCGGTGTGTGTAGATCTGACTAGAACCCTGTTGCGTTTCATTTCTGTTTTCTGCAGGCCAAGGATGCGCCAAAGTAGAAGCTGTTCACCGACGGAGCGAAGAAGCCCAACCAGGCACAACCAGTGTGCTGAATGCAAGAGGGGATTCTCAACCCAAACCAATCTGAGACGCCACATTGACGAACAGCATCGTCGCCGTGAAAGAATCAAATGTCCCTACTGCCCCCAGTCCTTTGTCCGACAGCGCGACCTGGACCGACACTGGCAGTCTGCACACCAAGAAAACCAGGGCTCGATAAGCCAGTCAGTAGATGCCAGAGACACAGAGCCTGAAGTCCCCAGAACCCCAGGACGAAACCATGAAGATGACGTGGTGAGTCTGACGCCTGGGAGTGTGGAACGGAGTCTTGTAAAAGACTTACACTCTCCTCCCCCGACAGAGAGCGAGGCAGCCGTGATGCCTCCAATAGCCCCTTCCACTCCCTCATAGGCCTAACGAAGGACGTGGGCACCCAGAGCGACCCGATAAAGGGCTCCCGTGTGGTGGAAAGCACCATAAAAGAGGTCCTGGAGAGCGACGGGAAGATTTCACTTCGGCTTATCCAGGAGCGTTTCCTGATGGATCCATAAATGTAGGGCCTAGACTACGAGATTTGCGCATAACATTTTGTTGGCTCACTTTTTAATTAAAGTCAAAGAGAAGTTAGTTAAGTTTACCTTAACTGTTAAAGTTGTCAGAGATGTTTCGTTTTTTGTTTTTCTTAAGAGAACTCTTGAGTTTTGAAATCTTAAACCGTTGTTAAACATGGTTAGATGTTGAAAAGTGTTTTGACGAATAATTATAATTGATGTTAAATGATGTTGCTTGAGCTAATGTGATATCTGTTTATGCTGAGCACGAGTCCCTTATTGTTCTTACGGATTGTATTTGAAACTTGCTGATGTGGGGACACATCTCCCCTTAAAGGAGGGGGTAGAGAAGCGAGCGAGGCGAAGCGCATGCAGGGCGCGTGATCAGTGCGTGATCGCCGCCTGAGAGGATGCCGGCCAATCAGCGCACCGCTAGGCTTCGCGCTCGCAGGCAGCGTGTGGCAGTGGCTGGCAGAACAGAAAAGAGGCAAGACGTCCCACGATATTGTGTTATTAACTGGTCATTAGAGCAAGAAGAAATCGGAGAAATCAAGAAGAATGTAAGTGAGAGAAAGGAGACAAATTAAAGCTAATCAGTTTGAGAATAATAGAGGAATCTAAAAGCTGTGTTTGGTGTGTTATTATTTCTGTGTTTGTCAGTCCTGGTACTAGTCGTAAGTCCGTGAAGTGTTGTCAGTCCCGTCTCGTCCCCCCCCCCCAAATCCTGAGCCTGTCAAGCCTTTTAGACCGCGATCTGGCCCTGTTACACTATGTAGCTAGATTTTTTTGTTCGACTTTCGTGAGTTACATTTTGATTCTTCTATACGCGTTTTACATGCACAACACCAATCCAGCCACTTACCATGTACGGTTACTGCGGCCCGTTACATATGTGTATATGCGGCGTACATATGTGTGCACATTTACATGTACATTTTCGACGGGGCCGGTGTGGCGATCTCAGCTGTCTCCCGGTCTCAGCGGTCCCCTTACCAAATATGGTAAAAATACATCATGCCATCTCTGCGCACAACAACGGGAAAGTCATCCATTTCATGTCCGGCTACGTCAGAGGGAGCTGCTGAAACCGGGAGACAGCTGTGAGCGCCATACCGGTGTAGATGTTCATGTGGTTCATGCGTGTATAGTACATGTACAACTGGGGATATGTACCGTGCGTTAATAAGGATCGACAGACAGTGAGACTTGAACGGTGCCCCCTGTTGATTCACCTAGTTATAAGTTAACAGCTGAACGGTTTTAGTCAATAGCGCCCTCAATATTTTGTATATCTAATCACCAGCCAGTCAATTCTGTCAAATGTGATTATTTTGCCGAATTTCACACTTCATTTTCCCACCTAAATTTCTCCAAATCCCAAGGTTAACTGTGACTCTCAAACCAGCCTACTTAACTGCAAATTATCCCAGACCAACCCCGTGCGTGAATCTTAAAAGTAAGTGAGATCGTTCCTTTATAATTGGAAGATTTTAGAGGCCCTTTGGTCTCTCAGTTACTTCTGCTCACACATAACTATTAAGGCCACATGCCCGTGTCAATTGCCTTTCGGAAATTATTCATGTTCTTATATTTGTAGAACCACAGGACACGGGACACAGGACACGGGTGACAGTTTCACTGGTCACGGTCTACCAGAGTTTTTCCAGTTTACATGGGCTGCGCAGTTAGGCCTACCATAGTTACCACAGGTCACTTCGTTTCCACGGTTAGTACATTCCCACTTGGGTCACCACTGCACCAAACGACCTTTATGTGAACTGAAACTTGCAGTTCCCTAGTTAATAAACATTCCAGTTGGAGTTGAGAACCAAGTGCCATATTTCCTCGCCAGTTTTTTTTTTCACCGTGAATTTCAAAATTTTCTTAACTTGGCAATTTTACGATGACAGATAGAACTTGGCTTCAATAATAAACTTCATGTTAACTCACTGTACTTTTGTGTTAGTCTTCGTTCCCGAGTCACTGAATTCTTATACGCTCGCAAGGCCGTAAGATTATGCAGGATGAACGGCATCGGTGCCGAGTTAGGTCGGTATGCAAACGCGTCCGGTCGGTAAGAGAAAAAAAATCTAGCGCAAAACCAAAAATCGTATAGCGCCGAAGATGCAAGATGGATAACTCTGCCCAAAAGATGTAATTACCGTGGGCGCAACTTGAGCGAGCCATACGCCAGCGCAGTTTACGGTAATGCTTAGGCGCAGGCTCACCAGGTGCACGTGCCTGCCGCGTGCCTGCACCTGTGCATTAATGTGCTTTGCGCACGCGTGTCGCTTGCTCGAATGGTGCCTATGCGATTACAACGTTTTACGTATGTTAACGGTGAAGTTCGCCATCTTGCGCCGCTTAGCGGCGCTAAAAGATCTTTGCGCAAAACCGTCAGCAAATCTAAAACTTTCACACCTTTCTCCACCACAGCCCACTTTGAAACTTCAGGAAACTTCGAATTCCTTGTTTCGAGCCTTCAAAAATCGCATCAAAACGTTAACAAACTATCGCTTACGAAAAGAGCTTTTCACAAAAATCACTAATTTTTACCTCTTTGGTACTATTTCTCAATTTTATTTTCCACAAAACACGTTCGGAAAACGCCATATCTTACCGTGACTATACATTTGCCAGGAATTTTTATTTCCAAAAAATTAAAATAAGACATAAATTTCATGAAATGAAGCAGCTGTTTGCCTGGCACGAATTCCCATTGCCCTCATTACGTTCCGGCCTCTGAAACATACATGTACGTACGTGCATACCCGGTGCACCACTTATTGAGAGTGCATGCGCACTAGATACTTCACTGTGGATTTCGGGGCAGGCGACCTGGGACATCGTTCCGACACTTTTTTTCCGCGAATGGAGGCCATTATTTATTTTAAAAAAATACAATCAGATGAAGTTCATAGTAAAAACCAGATTGATCAGAAAACATTAAACCACTGTATTAATTATAATGAGTTGCACAGAATTTGAAACAAATTAAAAAAAGATCAGATTTGAAAGAAAATGCGTCCACGGTCTTTCCATTTTAAAAAATTTCTCTAGATTATTCAAACAAAGAAAGTGAAAGGCCGTGTGTATTAAGACCCGATAAAACATCGGTAGTATTTTCAAGTTATTGCGAATTGAATATTTTGCACGAGAATTATTTGTCCGCTGTTGTGCATGTATAAGTTTACGTGCGTTGATGGAGATCATGGCCAGATGTCAGACAACTCGACCGTTTGCCAACCAGACTTCGGACAACTCGACCGTTTGCTACCTGGCTTTGACAGAGAGTCAACTCGACCAATGAAATTTTTCTCATTCCCAGTTCAAGATAGCAAAATTATTCAGTCACATTGTAGCTCTACAAAAAAATCCTCAAACTCCAACGAAATGTGGTCACCTTCCACCTTATGTGATAGAGATACCACTGTTACCACCAAATCAGTTTCAAATTTTAAACTTTTAATTCGGACGTATAGGATCGACGAAAATGGTGACATTTTTCTTCGTTCTGGATCGGTTTCCAGAAAGTAACCACGCGAGCGGCAAATCTACTTTCAGCCACAACAATTGTAAAAACCTTATATATATATATTCTAATGAAAATTTCCTCAATTTAGAGAACTTGGCTCATAAATAAGAATTCCAATTGGATCTTGTGTAAATTTCGACTCAACTTTTTCAGCTGCCATCAACAATACTACCTCATGCCGCACAGCTGATGAACCCATTACGTCCCGTAAGTTGCTGCAACGACCGTATAGCGAGATGAGTTCTCAAAGTATATTGTGTGAATGCACTTAATGCGTGATCCAAAACCAGGAAACAATTTGCGCTCAGTTTTCAGCCAGTTTTAATAAAACGCAACTTTGAAAGTAATTTTGATTAAACAGACATTAGAAGCAAGAGTTTATATAACTGTTGAGTGTGAAAAAGAGGCTTTGGGATCATTCGCAGTGAGTGACATATATCGCCCAAGACTATTCGTCTTTTTTTTCCGCTACCGTTTGACCGGTCGACAAAGAGCCACAATTAAAATTGATCAAACTAACAAAGACAATTCCCCATAGCTTAAACACAACACGGTAACGTTTTACAGAACTCTTTCATATATTAAGATATGCAGCATGAGTGGAAAAATTAGAGAACAGGTCACATTTTCGAGTTAAAAATACCCTTTTTTACGTTCGGAAATGTAACGTAGGCTTACACGGACATTTTTCACCCCATTTCCTCCCAAATGTAACTGAAGATTGACAAGAAACACATCACAAACTGAAATCTGAAGCCTGATTATACTTCTCTAATATAAAGTCAGCAAACCTTTACACAGTGCGGAAGATCTCCACGGATGTATTTTGGTTAAGTCGTTTGCTGGCAGGCGTCGTTACTTTAATCAACAGACAGTGACCGCGACATTCTTTGCGGAATTGTAGCGCATGCGCACAAACTACGTGGAAGGGGTGAACATAACCACACACATACTGACTGGTCGGTTGATGGTGCTTCGTTTTATGTAATATTTTACGTTTTCGTTCTGTTTATTTTACATTTTGGTCTACATGTACTACATACATGTATTAGTTACGTCCCATATAAGCCTGTAATTGTTGGTTTTGACCTACATGTGTACACCGTTTCGCTCTGTACACATTAGTTTCGTCATTTATAAATTATATATGTTTTGTCTTACATGTGTATTTATTAGTTTTTCTCCTACATAAATCACCTTTGTCCTTTAAAGAGCACCTCTGCAGAAAACATGTTTTCTCTGATTTTATTTGTTCAAATAAATATGGAAGCATCCGAATTGAACCAATGTCATTTGTCTTCAGAGCTCAACTGTAACAAGCTCATTTTTTCTGTTCAGGCAAAGATGTGAATTCTGAATGTAGATTGCGCATTTGGAGAAAACGGAGAAAACGAGGGGAACGATGGGAACCCTCGCCCTGTGTTCGTCTGTAGAGGATAATCACTTGTGCATGCCAAACAATGAATGCAGCCATTGTAGTTTGCAGGAAATTCAAAGTCAACGTAATGAAAGAAACTTTGTCTAAATTGTAAAATTATTTGTTGTCAGTTAAATGTGACTGACCCGGCCTATTTTCATTCCAGATAGTGGTTTTAAATGTAGATCTTTGGTCAAGTTGTGAACTCAATCAAGTAATCTGACTTACAGTGTCTGTGGTAACTTAGAGTTTGGCTGTTCAATTATAAAGCTGCGATCATTTTGTGCTCCAGGTTACACATCTGTATGCCACATGTCGGTTTTCAATAAATATTGTTAATATATGAATGAATTTCAGCCTATTTTTTATGTGAAAGTATAAAATTAAATTAAAATTTTATTTTATTTTAATGAAGTTTTTTAGAAATTAGAGGAAAAAACACATGGACAGTTTAGACATCGTATTTATTGACAAGTCTATTTTGGGTCTTAATGAAATTTTCAAATTTGTACACACTTAATAAATCATGATTAAACCGCCCCAAAGTGAAAATATTGCCAAAGTAAGACCGCGTAGACAAGGTGCGAATGAGTAAAAAACAAAACAAACACCCACATACACAAAAACAGGTTATAATATTATCGCTATTGAGTGGGTTATCTAATTTAAAAAAAGGTCAGTTATTTTGGAAAAGATATTTTTGCATTTCCTGTTTATTTTTGTTCTCGGGAGGGGACCGGGCCTTAGCCGCCGTCCCCCAAGAAAAAGGTAAGTTGTCCATAATCAGTTTTGAAAAAGCACAGCATACACCATTACGTCACCTTCCTGGAGCGCTGCCATTGTTCACACTAACAATACGCGATGACCTATCCAATCTTTATAATCATGATAATGAAGATCATTGTTGGATATTCAGGAGATCTAGTAAATAGGTCCAAAATTGCCTGCGCGGACAGAATCACGAGCTGTCAAATTCTCTTCTATTAGAGCACTTCGGAGCACGTGGACTGGCCGGTGGGTTAAGAAGGTGGATGAAATCCAGGGGCAGGACTGTCGGCTCATATACTTCTGAAAGTATCGGACTAAACGGGGCCTTGAGTGTAGGCATCAATTTCTAAAATGGCGATGGACCTCCTGACTGCCGTTTTTTCGAGCTATACGGGTCCAGTCCACTAATTCAAGCCCCATTGAATAAAGTGTAAAATCAGCACCGTTCAGGGCCCAATAGCATGCACGCCAACATCCCTGAAATACAAATGAAATTCTTGTCTGGNGAAGTCTGATTGCAGCCATTTTTCAAGTGGCAACCCTCAACTTTCTCGGGCACTTAGGACCATTTTTCTACCTTAGTTTTTAGCCCTTCTGCTCTCATATGAAAGCTCAAAGACCCAGGAAGTTGATCCTGGTAACGATTTACACAATCTCACCATTTTTGGGCCCAAACAATGTCCTTTTTCAAAAGATACTGTGGGGGGCACTTTTAATGCTAATGAGCTGGTCAAAAATTCTCACTTGAATTAGTGGTCTGCACCCTTACGTGTACAATATATGCAATCACACGTATGAAGCCAAAGGGGAGAAAATCTTCATAAGTCATCGGTTAAGCCACTGAAATTGAAAGGAAAATGAAAGACCAGGAAGTGAGCTTTAATTTGATATATATGTCTTGAACACCTGTAAAAGTTGTATTTTTTTAAGTGGGGAAATTTATCACTCTTGTCTGTAGCAACTTATTTACTGGTCTGGACCCTAGAGTTATACAGGAAG